CAGCTCGCAATGAGCTTTTTGATGAGTTTTTGCCCATTTTGGCAATCCCATAGGATCGGCGCCCTAGATGACAAACCACCCACCCTCCGCTGCTACGCCTTTGATAGAGGACTGGTAGAGCGGCCTCTTCATCAGCTAAAAATTGAGAGGCGCTATACGGGATTTAAAAAAAAAGATAAAAATAACATTCTGTATGGAAAAACTTATTTTTTTTTATATTTTACCTATTTGTTCAGCAAGCCCAAACACTTATTGATTGCTAACTAGGTATTATAATTTGATTAAGCATTTGTGTTTTTACCTTAAAAATTCATTACAAAAATAAATTAATCACTTCGTACTAAATTTACACGTTACATAATAGATCTTAAAATAGAGTGGGCCCTCTACGACATATAAAAATCAATTTTGACTAAAACAAAAAACAACCTAAGCGTTAATTTAACTATCGAGGCGTGCTAAAATGTAAAATGTTACGGGCTGTTGAACAAGACGCAACTGACTGACTTATTTGATTTATTCCTTTGAAGCTCCCGAGGAGCAAATTACTGCAGTTAAGTATCTCAACACTACTCTGTTATGGGCGGCTATCTCTATTTGAGCCCACTTAAGCCCAGCAAGGCCTTGCTTCTCCCTTCACTGTCCTTGTTGTACATGATAGCTTCGGCCTTCGTTTCTTTTCTCCTAGACGCTCTAGTTGAGTTGTAGGCCTAAATGTTTAATGTTTAGCTTACACACACACATACACACACACATACACACGCACGCACGCACACACGCATGCACGCTCACACACACACACACAAATTGTAAAACATTCAGGTTCTAAAGTGTTAAATAAAGTTTAATACCATTTTTTTTAGTTTTTCGTACACGGAACAGTACATAGATGGGCTACATATACAATGCAAAAGAGTTGATTTAATAGCACTTAAAATAAATTATTCTGCAGGAAGGTTTAACTCTGATCAAATTTTGCAACGGTACTTTATTGTGTAGGCTACAGGCTACGCGGGCATGGTCCGCTAACCTTCCTTAGGGTCGGATTGCTTTGATGTAGACTTGTGTTGGCTTATATGCATCTGTCCTGCTGGCGGTATCAAAAAAAGTTCGCTGGGGTGAGAGGGGGGAAGAGGGGTGGGGGTTCTTGGAAGACTGCGCATGGTTTTTTTTTAAAAAAAAGACTAACATTTTAATGGCAATGATATCTTTTTTCGGGCGCAAGACACAGACATTATAAATGTTTACTTCCTTAGAAAATATTTTTTTTTTACTGAGACTTAGCATATAGGTTACCGCATTAGCGAATAATTAAACTGTCGATTTTAAATTATTCGGTCATTGGCCAAATGGTCCAGCAAAATAATTAGGCCAACGCGCGAACTGCTCTGCCAATCCGCGCTTTTCGCCGCACGTCAGGCTTTGGCAGTTAATATTCGACCAGTGATTATTCCTTAACTTAATTAATCAGCATTAGACATCTTGGCAATCTACTGCAAGTAATCAGTAATCATAGAGTGTAGATTAAATCATTCAATTTGGTGAATTAAAACTGTTACTAAGCGCACAAAGTCCTACATATAATTTCGTGCTATCTAATGCAATATGTATCTGCTATTACGACACCGATTTCAATATGTGTAGATATATAAACAATTTCTATCTTCTAAAATTACACCACTGGTATTAATTACATGTTATCTTAAGGAGTGTCTTTATATTTCTTTACTTAAAACAGCAACGTGCAACTGGTACGCGAGCAACATACAATCAATTTTCAAAAAATAAAATATCGACTCTCTTACAACTGTATTATTAATCCACCCATAGTTAAAATCTAAAAAATGTAAGTGATTGCAATCTTTAAGTCATCTCTTCCGGGGCTGGAGGGCATTATTTCGTCCATCACCCGCCCGTACGAATTATTCAACAATATACAACAATATATAATTTAGGCGTATGTTTAAATTGTATATTATATTAACCGGTGTCCGCCCCCATCTCCTTCCCTAAAAATTTAAGTCTGCCTCCTCCCCCAAATATAGATTTAAAATGCTTTCAGATGAACTTGTCTTAAAGACACACAGTTTAGATTTTATATTGTAAACTTTCAACATAGTCATTGTAACACTAATCGTCATCGGCTATATATAGCACTGGTCGTAGCCAGGTATATCTTCCTTACAAAGTCCACACCAATTAGTGAAATAATGTCAATACAATGAAAACATTAAGAGTTAACAGTACTTTTTATTAAAATATCACAGAGAAAAGCAATACACGTAATCTCTATATACTTATAACCTAAGTATGTTTCAAATAGAGGGGCGCTAAATTGTAATTTATCATAATTATAAAAACTTTGACGAAATTAAAATAGTCGAGTTTTACAATTGTGGTGTAAAAATATTTGGTTAGTTTAATTTTACGTATTTGTACAATGCTTTTCGGTTTTACTAATTCTAATTAAAAGGTCACATTTTACAAATGTATACATATGGCAAAAGTGAAACATAATTTTATAATTTATTTCTGTAAACACATTACTAGATTGTGCTTACTATCTTAGAAGGCTACATTGCATATACTTATATTTTATTGTGCAGTAGGGGCTAAGTATAAAATGTAAAAAAAAAAAAAAAAAAATTATACGCTCTAAATAATAGTGTAGTACAAACAAAAATCTGCTCTCTTCGTAAATATTTTTAATTCAGGCATTTTTTTGTATTAAAAAATTTTGTAGAGTGAATAAATAAGAAGTAAACTAAATTTTGAAACATGTTTTTATTCTTCAAAATTGTGATTTCTAAACTTGAATTTTAAAAAAATATACACAATTCAACACCAATCAAACGACAACACTGTTAAAGTAAGCCAATACCTTTGCATATATGTGTTAAATTTCAATATAGTGCATACAATTAGTAAAAACCACATCTATTTATTGAAAAATAAACAGGTAAACATATATTTAATAAATACTTTGAGCAGGTCAGATACAATAATGTATCGTCATAGGTACTTTCATCTTCACCACAAACCTAAGTTGCCTTATAACAACATAAAAGTGTAATTTCGCAAATTTCACATAAGATTAATTGTACAGTTAATACTTGCCTATATATATATATATATATATATATATATATATATATATATATATATATATATATATATATATATATATATATATATATATATGTATATATATATGTATATATATGTATATATATGTATATATACATATATATATGACAAGTATGGAATGTAATATGAACAAAGCCGTGCTACTCTATAAAGCAGGGTATAATAATCAGCAGTTTAAAAAGACTTCACAGGGCGTAGTTAGATATCATGCTGAGCAAACGAGCTAAAACGTACATTTAAGTAGCTGGATTTACTCTATTTTTTCTGCATGATAGCACACATTATGTATAAATTCACAGTTCCAGAAAATCATACCAAATGTATACATAGTTTTAATTTGTAAAAAAAGTGTTGCAATTGTAATTATTTCTCATATAAATGTAATACAGGCTTACATTTGAATTCGCAACACATAATCTGATGTTTAGAATTAAATTTATAATAAAAAGACTGAAATAATATGATTAATAAACCGGGAGTGATCTCCCCTAAACTTTCTCGAATATTCTTTTATAAAATAACAGGGGATGGGAACTCGGGCTATAGACATGATTTTTAATCCATTTTAAATACTTAAAGTTTTAAAAATAGAATAAAATCTCGTAGACAAATTAATTGCACACCAAGTGAACGCCAAATAAAAAAGCGCATAATAGTGCGCAATATTTTTGTACTTTTGAAATTTACATTAGTTTTGTGAGAAATCGGAAGTAGCGTAAAGTACTACTTTCAGTCAACGGAAATTACTCAAAATTTAACAGAAGGTAGAGAATTAGATCTTTTACTTACATGTGAAATTTCATTTATCTATCTGAAACAGTACTCAAGTTATAGGCTTTTGAAAAATTCAAAGTAGAAAAAGTACCACTTCCGGTTATCGGAAATCGCTCAAAAGTTGATACGGATCTACGATTTTGATATAATACTTATATATGAAATTTCATCCACCTAGCTATAACGGTACTCAAGTTATCGTGTTTACACACGGACAGACACACAGACACACAGACACACACACACACACACAGATATACGGACAAGATTGCAAAATTATGTTTTTCCGTATCAGTGAGGTGTAAAACGTCGAGATTTGTAAAAATCTCGATTTTTTTTTGCACGATTACAATACTTTCTCTATACTTCGTATATACGAGAAAGTAAAAAAGAAAACAGAAAACATTATTACCTTTAAGTTAAAGATTTCTTTCTAAAAAGCACTTAAAATAAACATTTAGAAAGTATTATTTTCTGTTAATGTTTTCTTTTTATTTAATTTATTTCTACCTTAAGAAATTGCATTACTAATATACTTTATTGATGAGTGATTAGATTCCTAAAAATTCTAATTCAGAATAAGTTTTTGAAATTTCAAATAATTTTTGTATTAACTCTAGTTTGTCTGCACGATAGCACACATTATGTAGTGATTCACAGTTTCAGAAAATCATACCAAATATATACATAGTTCTAAATTGTAAAAAAGTGTTGCAATTGTAATAATTTCTTATATAAATGTAATACGGGATTACATTTGAATTTGCAACAAATAATCTGATGTTTAGAATTAAATTTATAATAAAAAGACTCAAATCATTTGATTAAAAAAGGAAAACAGAAAACATTATTACCTTTATGTTAAAGTTTTTTTTCAAAAAGCACAAAAATAAACTTTTAGAGAGTATTATTTTCTGTTAATGGTTTCTTTTTATTTAATTTATTCCTACCTTTACAAAATAGCATTACTCATATTAGTTATTGAAACGGTAACATAAAAAATATAATAAAACTGCCATTGTAATAAAGTTTAATGTTTGTTTTGTAAATATCAATTTTATAAAAAAGAATACACTTACCTGTATCTTCTGAAGGTAAATCGACCTTAGCTGATTCAGCGAACGTGACGGTCATAAAGGTAGCTAGCTTGCAAGATACTTTTTTCGTGTAATAACTGCTATTCATATTGAGTTGAGCAGACATTGAAGTCGTAGTTTCTGCTACAGGATCTGTTATTGTTTCTACCTGCGTAAGGCACACGCAAAAAAAAAATATTATTAGAAAATAATTAATCGTCATGTATTCAATGAATGCTATTGTTGCCCTATAGGAAGAAAATCTATTTTACTTTACCAGAAAAGAAGTTGTTCCAGCATAACCCAGGGGAGCGCCGGAGCAGGTGAGAGTTACTGTTCGTCCTTCAGGGCTAACTGTTACTGTCGGGATATTCATTGCTAGAAATTTAATAATGAGAAACATAAAGCAATAGGTATATATATATATATATATATATATATATATATGTTGTATTCATATTGCTATTGTTCCGTTTTAATTGTATTTGCTGTTTTACCTGTTCGTATAACGAGTATAGAGTGAATATTGTAATCGTGCTAATATAAATCTGGTGCGATTGTGTCTGTACACTCGATAGCTATTTTAGGAAGGCGGACAAACTTGTATTCATTGGCATTAGATTAATTAAAGTTTATATCCCTTTTAAGCGATTTCCGATAATCGATAATTTGAGTTTTATTTCAGCTATAAAATAGTTAATTTACTAAGTTCTATATCACCTTTTGGTGGATATATAGTGACCGGTTGAGAACATTTCATATATAAAAATAAAGAAATTATACCTAAATTTGTATTATTTTTTTCAATAATTTTTGATCATCCGTTTTCAAAAAAACTAAAATCTTCAATTCCGTTTCAGTTAGGTGGATAAAATCCTACACCTGAGACTCTGTGTTAAGTTTTCATTTAGTTCCGTAACTTGAAGTTGTAGGCCCTACTCGATAAAACGTTTCTCAAGAACCTTCACGATGTTATTTTAAATCATATTTTTAAAAAGAAACTTATTCAAAGACCTTTTCGCCTTCAATGTTTTTTCCAAAAAAAGGGGGGTTTTGTTGCAAATACACCCTTATTGTAGCACTTACAAGAGATGTAACAAGTTTTACGTTTTGTACGAGTATTCAATTTGAGTGTACTCTTTCCCAACTTATTAATAGTTGTTGAACTGATGTCTTTCGCTTGCGACACAAAATAATATTAACATCACGACTAATTTCTTTTTTCTAAAATATACTGTGCATTACTGGGAATTTAAGTTGGAAACTAATCAGCTTTGTGTTTTTAATATCTGCTAAACTTTGTCGTGGCTTTAGCAGAGATGGGAAAATGGTAAAAACATTATAAACATTTTTATCCAACTTTATTTAATTCATCACGTAAAAAATAAATATCTTCTACTTATAAATACATACATTGAGAGTTTGCTTCAATGGCAGTGATTGTAAGGGCAGCACTTTGGTCAGAGTTTAAGCTAGTCGTACTTGAGAGAGCTTGACACCTTGTTGGGCATTAGAGAATGTAGGCATGAAAAACATTTAACAACCTTTTGAGATTTTTTAGGATTTTTGTCACTATAAAAATATGCATGCAATGCTTGATTATTGCCATATTCTTGATGCAAACATGCTATGACGTTGATAATATAATGGACCATTTAATGGTTTTAGCTTAATAATGTTAAGTTAATTTTAATTCGTGGTTGTTGTTACGACATTTCATAAGGACTTATTTAAAATAAATAAAACAGTACGGTAAAGAATTACTTGTAAGCTCCAGCCTTCGTGATATTGATACTCGGGGAATTTGCATTTAGACGGACATTGTCGAGATACCAAGCATAGAAGGCTACACCAGCACCAGCTGAACACGTCAAGACACCAGTAGATCCTTCAATAAATTCTGTTGTTTTACCTGTCTCCTGTGTGACTACGGGTGTCGCTAGTTTAACTTTTAGATACAGTAAATAAATACAGTAGACACGTTTGAACATAACAAATAGCAGTGGACCTATGGCCTACATTTATAAAAGTTTAGGTGGCTGCTTAATTCTCGAATTTTAGAATGATTCAAGTTAATTTTATTACTATATTTAAATTGATTTTAATATTTATACAATAAACAAAGAGCTAAATCATTAGGCCTTTATATATATTACTTTTATGATTTTTATCATTCATACTTCAGATAATATTTTAAGCAATATGCAAACATTGAGCTCATCAGAAAGGAGACAGCCAAATGTTTGAAACAAATTTAAATGAATGAAAGAAAAGTACAAAAGATGATTGATTGGAGAGACATTGAACAAACAAAATCTCACACTTTGATTAGAATCAACAAGAAAATTAAAACGTAGGATGGCCAATACACTTTTGGAAATTATCAGTTTACAGTTAAGGAAATGCAGCCCGGAATGTCTTGGATCTAACTTGAAGAAATCAACTTAACGGATTCACTTATAAAAATGTGCGATATTAAAGGCAAAGTTAAATAGGAGTTATAGAGCTGGTAGTAGGATCTATGGAGTTAGAGGAGAAAGATAAATTAGTACTAATCCATACTCTAGTAAATAATTAATTATAAAATACATTTGGCTACTATTTTTTAAATTGCAACTTTTACCCTAAATATTGTGATACCATATTACTTAAATTACAACTTTACATTGGTACTCGACGAAATTAAAGTACTAACACATTTTTAAGGACAATCTTAAAATGTGGACATTGTATCATATGTCAATGATTTTGCAAATCATCGCATTATATGATCGATAACGCATCGCAATATAGTTGACACATTTATAACTAACCAAGGGAGTGCACTATTTCTAAGTTCTATTGCACTCTATCATAGAAAAGCTTGCTAGAAACTGCTAAACATTTAAGTTACTGTGGTGTTAAATAAAATTACTCAACCCATCTAGGAGAGAAAACTCTTTAATAAAACAGGAGTAAAGCCCTGTTAGCAATTGAATTACCAACTCCTCTTTCATTTCCGTAGCTAATTTAACACAGCTTGTGTCAAATTAATTAGGTAGTGTCTCTCCCTTGGACCTATCAGGTAATAGTTTGATAAATTGACATCTGGCTATTCTCAAAGGGCTGCCTTGGTCTTACAGCTAAATACCCAAAGCGCTTTAATCCAATCTTCTATAATTTATTGAGCCATTTATTTATTTATAGGTAAAGTTAAAATAAATGTTAAAGCATGGCATGTACACGTTTGTAAATTTTATATTATATTAACGAGACATGGGTTTGATAATGTTTTTAATTTTTTTTTAGTGCATCGATAAACGACTTTTTTTTTATTGAAATGTTAATTTTTTAAAGAAACTGTTCAACTCACTTCCACAGCCTGTTCGAATAGGGACGGCATTAGACTTGCAGGCACAGACTTTGTCTGAAGTACATATTGTAGATGTGTAGGTTGTGTCAGTGCAATCAGCAGTTGTTAAACACTGGGCGCCGTTCACATAGGACTTGAAAGCTGCAGAGAGAACGAAAATAGAACTTAATTTAACTCTAATCTATGTTAATATGTTTTAAGTAAATGTATGTTATAACATAATTATTTGAGGGTTCCCGTAGACAGCTGTAGTGATCCCAGCGTAAGGGCATAATCACATGTGTTGCATTTAAGAAAACATGGTACCGTAGGGCTAGGGCTAGGGCTAGGGCTAGGGCTAGGGCTAGGGCTAGGGCTAGGGCTAGGGCTAGGGCTAGGGCTAGGGCTAGGGCTAGGGCTAGGGCTAGGGCTGATTTGAATATAGGAAATACTGTGATAAGTCCTGTGCCTTGTCCCAAAAGTCGTCGTCATCCTGACATATACGGCGTAACTATATGAAATGGAATGTTTGCAGACCGAGGGATGTGAAGAATAGTACAAAAGATATTAATGTGAGTCGATTGGTTTGTAGAATACGGTCGTTCCAACTTTGGTATCATAAGGGATATTGTCATATTCAGGAGGTTAACAGAACTGCTAGACATTTCGGAGGAAAATTTAATGGTGAGGTGTTAATTAGTATAGGCCTATTTGTTTATAGCTTTGGTAACACCAGCTTTATTTGTCAAGATCCCGTCTTTATAGCGCGGCGAGTAAAAAGGTACTGCCAGAGAGTTATTTAAATCCATCTAGCGTGTATGGATCGATAGCTCGCGGTTCACCGGCGGAGAGGTATGAGTGTTTTAATGGGGCCTGGTTGAAGTTATTTAAGTTCGTACCCGGTATGGTGGATAAATAGGTCACGGTTTTTCAAGGAATCAATTTTCGGGGTCAGGTACGTTTGTCTTTTTAACATAGTGATCAAATCCTCTTCATATGTTGCTTCAACTAGTCTTCTTAAGATTACTGAACAAGTGTACACGTCTAAAAAAACACGATAAGTAACGCGTTGGTGAAAACCTTACACCAGGGGTTCCCAACCATTTTTTAATCTAGAGCACATTCTAAAATATCGGTAGGGTGGCGGGCACCACCTATTTTAAATCGACAAACTCCATCCATAACTTGTCATTTTCCCATAATTTATTTTCTTATTTTCTTATAGTCATAATGTATTAATAAATAATAAACAAAAATGTTTCAAAATAATAAAATTATTTGGCATTTTTTTTCAAATTGCATACCCACAGAGAAATGTATTTACAAAACGTAAATAGTGCAGTCTGGCTAGACAATTTGGGACAAGTATCGAACATATTTAATAAACCGAGGCAGTCAAAAAAAAATTAAAACTGTAACAAATGAATAAAAATAAATCATATTATAAAATAAAGTTTATGAAAAAAATTCTGTCTCTGTCGAATAGTGAGAGGCGGGCACATACTAATCGTTCAGCGGGCGCGCCCGCGGGCACAGGGTTGGGAACCCCTGCCTTACACAATGCTTTCGAGAACTAGATCACATGAATGTGTGACGGGTACGCTGGCATTAATTAAAACAACTTTTTTAACAGGTACAATAATAAGAAAAGTGAGTTTTTCCACATAGTTGTTTAGTATCCAACGCATTAATGATTTTTTAATAAGATTGCATTAAAATTTTAAAGGCGTATTGATAAAATAGGGTTTTAGTAAAGAAATAGTGTTTACATAGTTAGAATATATCGTAAAATAGAATCAAATGTATGATAAACATATAAAATATTTATATAATGAAATAAATAATCTCGCTAATGTAATTAACAATATGTACTTACCTACGACGCAAAATAATACCGAAAACACAACAGCTGATTGTGGCTTCATTCTGAGTGTTCAGTATTGACACAAGCTTTTTGTCTTCCCAGATTGCTTCGATAAACGGCTATTAAATGGGAATTTGAACGATTCAAATCTCGTTTGACTACTCTAAGATTATATAAGTAT